CCCATTTCCACTTTGCTCAGGTCAACTTCCTTTAAAGATGGTGAGAACCATCTCGCTGCCCGCCCAACAGTATACATCAGTGTGCATCTCTCTCCTTTGGTTGCCAGGGACATGACCCCATGACCCACAGAAAATCCAGACAACACTGAACATTATGTTTTAACCCCTTTAAGAGAACTTGGGTTTCATTTGTGATTATGTTGGATTTTATTACAGTTGTGTACACTATTTTTTCATTTGGGGGTCAAAAGAATGAGCTATTTGTCATCACCAGCTAAACATCCAAAACTGGTATAAGCTTACTACTCACTGATCTCTAAATTGTATTCAGAACACATGTTTTCTATGTATTTCCCATTTTTAGTCCTGGCAAACAATCTTGTTAATTAACACATTATATATAATACATATTACATATATTTTATAATTATGTATATAATTTAAATATATTTATATGTAATATTATAAAATATATGTAATTCACTTACATGTATTATATATTACATTACTGTAATATGTAACATTGTATTACTATATATGCTATATATTGGTATGTTATGTATTATATATTAAGTATATTAATATGATGTGTTGTATGTTATATAACATGTTAATTTATATATTACAGTAATATAATATACAACATAATTGACACATTACATTGATTGTCACAGCTTAGTCTCCTTTGGTTATATTTTTTGTGGGATTGGTGTCAGTTGGGTTTATGTGATTTGACTGGAGATCATGGAAGTTTGCAATACCACAGAGAGGACATGTCCTAACCATATCCAGCCAGGGTGACCTTGTAGCCCATACTATTACAGGTGATGTTAACCTCTTCACTGGGCAGAAATGGCTTTGCTGGGCATCTCTATTATGTAATTACTGTTTTGATCTTCCCCTTCTTAATTTTTGACAAATAAGTCTCTGAACCAGGTGAAGCAGGGGGTAAAGCTCACTTCTGAAAAGGGTTAACCTTTAACACTCAGTGTTAAAACAAGTGAGGAGCCTACACGAGATGCCCAAGATTCAGTCAATGTCTCTGAAGTTATGCCACTCTAGTGTCCCCTCTCTGTACTCTCTGTTCTAGAGAAGGTGAAGGTCTTTCACTCCTGAGTACCACGAAATACTTGCATCCACCTTGCTTAGCCCTTGCTTGGACTCCCTATCATTTTCCTCCATTGTATAGTTTCTTTGAAAGCCTGCTCTATATTTTTGTTACCAAGAACAAAGTCATACCAAATGTGTCTGCTACTCCGGTAAGTACTTACACAAACAGGAGTCCAGTTAACCACTTTTTGAGTATCTCTTAGTCCCAGGCAGCTTCAACTGTCCAGTGACCCCTTTCCACTGCCTGTCCCCAGCAGCCTGGCTCCATAGCACCCACTCTCTGTGAGTCAGTATTTAAATGCAAAAAAAAAAAAAATTGTAGCTTGATTAATAAAACCAAATTTCTTCTCCATTGATAATCTTTCAGTGGAGAAGTCTGCTAAAGCATATGAAAAATAAGAGAGGCTCGAAAATTCTGTTGCACCTCTGCTTAAAAAAATTGCACTGGCCTTTGGTCGGCTTGCACACAGAATTGTTCATGCATATCACATATTCACAGCATAGCTTACCTTGTTACAGTTCAGATTAATTGAATGTAGTAATGAAGAAAAGAAGTATTTACTTCCGAAATTGGCAGCAGCACTCTAGAGAGGAAGCGAGTCAGGAAGACTTAGTAAAGAGTTAGCAGATGAGTAAAACTAAAATTCAAGCACAACAGACAAATGTAACATGCATGGTTCTGTTAAAATATGAATTTTTCCCCTCTTTCATCTCTTAAGTCCATGTCATTTATTTGTTCCCATAAATACACTTTAGGGAGCTTGTTTGATGGAGAACCCTGTGCTAGGTATTGATATAAACTGAAGTCTTTTAGCATTAACCAATAGTGGAAACGACAGATATTTAGGGAAAAACAATAAATCGCAGTCGTCATAATAACTCCCAGAGGAAGCTGAGAAACCAGTGACAGGATAGTACATTTGTGACAAAGGGTTGGCGCGATCAAGCCTGGGATTTCTATTGCATTTCTAACATTAATAAAAGGAAAACATTTTTCAGCACAGGCTGAATGAGGAAGTAGTGTTGGATGGCCCAGGTCTCTACAGGTTGGTAGGATGTCTTCTTCTGATTCTATCTCTAAGACTTTTAACAGTTGAATGGGAAAGTACTTTAGGCAGACCCAACCACCCTATGGTTTCTACCTCTCCCCTCCCCTTTCCCTTTTGAGAATGAATTTGGCCTTATATGTGAGCTGTTGATCTGAGTTAGTGAGCTCTTCCTAATTCATGGAGCTACGAAAATGCAAATATCTTGCTCATTCTAAGACAGATTCAATAAGAGGAAATGAAAGTGTAAATGATTTCTCCTTCTTATTTTAGATGGGCAGTGGTGTATGAGGAAGCTTCTTGGTGATTATTTTGGGGTTTTGTGGTTTCTTTTTTGTTTCACTCCCAGCTAGGTTTAAGCTACCCATAGTCTTTATTTAGTGCCATGTGTTTTACTTGGGTACATTTATGCAAAATTCTGAAAAAGCATTCAAGACTGCAAGACTTTGTGCAACTGCAGATGATTAATGATATAATTCTGAGTCCTTTTATAAAGTGTCTTAACACCAGAGAGATTTATACAATGTGGCATGGAAATGGTGCTTCGATGTGAGAATAGGTAATCAATATCTGCAAGCCTGGGAAAAGTGTTCTATTTCCTCCACTAATGACATGAGGGGGGTGGAGGGGGAGGGGGTTGCAAGGCAAGGGTGTCTGGAGCATGAAGCACTCCAAAGAAGAATTAATTTAAAGTCTGAAGTGGAAGATCAGTTTCAATTAAAATTGCACTTGAAACGTATATTGGGTAGAAGTGTGAAAGCAAGCATGTAGTTAGCTTAAATCTTTAGATTGTTACCAGCGAATAAATGAATCCCACTAGTAAAGACTCTGATTATATTATTATAGAGTGCTAAATTATGTTTCACCCACCTCTGGAAGATTGTGAGAAGGGAAAAAGGAATGCCAAGTACTTTTTATGATTTTGCAGAGTAATTTTTTATTAGTACCATTAACTATAAGTATCTGTGTGTTGACAAATGATGGCTTCCCATTATTATTTCTTTGGAGTCATATGAGTTAGTATTATATACGTGCATGTATTTCTGTTATATGCATGTTTGTATTATTTTACCCATTGCATTTATTTCCATTGGGTGTGACTTTATGGTACTCGTAGGTTTCTAGAAGGTACAAACACACATAAACATAACATATAAGTATTCGTTTTCACATATTGAACTGATTTCTAGCTGATCAAAATTTGTATCTGTTTTATCCATATTTTCTCTCTCTGCCATTTCTCAGTGGATTCTTTTGGCATCTGATAGTCAATTTAAAGTGAGTGATAATGCTGCGTCTTCTCCCTTTGCTTCCTCAAAGATACAAATGATGAAAATAAAGCTTGATTAAACACATATGGAAACACACATTCTGACCCTTTAAGACTAACTCGTTTTAGTCTTTGGGAATTTGAGCAAGAGTTAAAACACCATGAGTAAAAGCCCTTGACATTTTCTAAGTTGGTTGACATTTCCTAATTTAGCTGGAGTCCTGCTAATAATGGCAATGGTGATATTCCCTTTTTCTCGTCAGTATTCTGGCACTTACAACAGACTTAACTGTGCCCTGAGGTTGCCAGTACACAACTGTGTTCTTTTTCCTCTATGCCTAATTCTCAAAAGAAAATGGAGCTAAATCTTTTTGTAAAAATTGTTCTTTGTTCTTGATTGTTATCTATGGAGCTGCTATTGCCCCTGTAGTTTTGTGTTTCCAAGTGGGTCAGAGAAGTAAATGTAAGGTTTTTTTTTTTGTGTTCTGACCTCTTATGGGGGCCCATCAGAATAACATTCCATGGTTGTTTCTGTGATGTATCCCCCCTCTCCCCTCTTCCCCAAGTCTTTATTTGTTTGAGTCCTGAGTCAACCCCTGCAAGCGATCTCTAAGAAAGAGAGGGATGGAAAGAGAGATGTGAGCCCCCTTAACATTCATAAGTACCAACTCTGGACACAGAGAAGCCTTCCAAAATTAGTCAAAGAAAAATATGCCTCATTTTTCTCCATAGTTTTTCATAACTCATATACATTTTGTACAATATTTTTCACGTTGATTTTCTTTCCTTTTCCGGTTTACAGACTCCTGTGAGCTAAGAAGAAAGTTGTATTTAGGATATCATTCCCAATAAGGAACATACTAAATCACTTAAGTCACTTTTTCTTTTTTTTTTCTTTTTTTTAATTGAGAAAATACGGTATAGAGGGGTTACAATTATATGGGCAAGATAATGAGTACATTTCTTATCAAGCATTGTTGCCTCCTTTGTTTTCACTTACCTTCCCTTCCCATCCCCCACTTCCACCGTCACTTTCTTATGAATAAATGCTCTGCTTATTTTGGGAAACTTGTTTAATTTAAATATAATTTAAAAAAAAATGTGAACTAAGCTGGGCACCAGTGGCTCACACCTATAATCCTAGCTACTTAGGAGGCTGAGATCTGAGGATCGAGGTTCAAATCCAGCCTGGGCAGGAAAGGCTATGAGACTCTTATCCCCAATAAACCACCAGAAAATTGGAAGTGGCGTTGTGGCTCAAGTGGTAGAGCACTTGCCTTGAGCTGAAGAGCTGAGGGACAGTGCTCAGGCCCAGAGTTCAAGCCCCATGACCAACCCCCCCACCCCCCACAAAAAAATGTGAACTACTCTTGCCAGCCCTTCTTCATAGCTCTCTGAATTTGTTTAAAAGTTAAGTTAGCAAATGGTTTGATAACAAATCAAGAAGTGACACTGCTTTATGAAATACATTGACCCCTAGGACTGTGCTTACCTCTTTGGAATGGGACATGTTGGGAGATGTTCTTCCACTCCTTGCCCGGAGGATTGAACGTTGCCTTCTTTTCTGTCAACAGGCGCATATGGTCCTGAGCACTGGGTTACATCTAGTGTCAGCTGTGGGGGCCGTCATCAGTCTCCTATAGACATTGTGGATCAGCATGCTCGTGTTGGTGAAGAATACCAGGAACTGCAACTTGATGGCTTTGACAATGAATCTTCTAACAAAACCTGGATGAAAAACACTGGGAAAACAGGTAGACCCAATTTTTATCTCAACGTGAAACATTTTGGAATACCTTTGATGGATTGCTTTTCCCTGTCTTGCTCCTTAGAAACAAACATATTGTTTTCATTCAGCCTTTGGCTTGATAAAGCAACTGTATGACTTGGAGCAAATTACTCAACTACTCTGACTCTATTTTTGAGAAATATTTAAAATGTAGATAATGAAATAGTATCTACCTTGTAGGGTTGCAATGTGTTCATCGATTTTAAAGTGCAAAGAATGGAATCTAACAATATGGTAGCTACTATCCCCTGTGGTTTTATTTAAATTTAAGTTTTTATTTAAAAAGTAAATAAGAAAGCTGAGTGCCTGTGACTTACACCTTTAATCCTAGCCACTCAGAAGGCTAAGATCTGAGAATTGTAGTCTGAAGCTAACCCAGGCAGGTGTGGGACACTTAACCTTCAATCAACCACTCAAGAGCTGGAAGTGAAACTTTGGCTCAAGTGGTAGATGGCTGGCTTTGAGCAGAAAAAGCTCAAAGACAGTACCCACCATTGAGTTCAAGCCTCAGGACTGGCAACAGTAAACAAACAAACAAACAAACAAACAAATAGAATTTCTGTGCGTCTGTTGTACCTGTTGTATTTCCAAAGCACTGCAGCAATATATCCCTTGTGGTTAGCTTGTCAGTAAGCCTGGATAGGGTTCTGTCCTTTAGCACTGTGCCCTGTGTGCAGGCTGAACTAAAATTCTTAGCTTCTTGGAGATGTTGCTTTCACTATATTTCCTATCCTATCAGAGTGAAGATTAACCCTCTTGTCCCTTTGTATATCAATCCAACTGCTTAACCTTACCTTTCCTTACCCTCATTCCTCATTTGGGGATTTGTGAATATATAGCATATCTTTCTATCAGTGTTAATGGGAAGCCAATAAACTCCAGGCTATGTATTACATCCTTGCTTACAGCTGCCTGGTGCTTAGTGGATGCCTAAAGGGTATTTTTCTCATCTTCTTCTTTAACTACTGATGACTATATTCCATTAAAAGCAGCTCTCTTTCTCTTCCCTCTCTCTTTCTTCCTCCCCTTCCTCCTTTCTCTTTTTCCTCTCCCTCCCTTCCTGACTTTTCCTTGCTTTCTTTTCTTTTCTTTCTTCTTTTTTTGTAACCTGGAAGGTCACTTCCAGATCCTTGATTCCTGGGGCCAAAGCAACATGCTGTGGCTCCCAGAGTTACCTTTCCTTGAAACCTACTGGTAACACAGGGAGCTCTAGGGATGCTTTTCCTTTGTCCAGATGCGCATCTGTCTGAGATTGCTCCTGGTGATTGCTTCGAGCTAGCCAGTCTCCTTTGTACAAGCTTGTCCTTTGGCCTGTGCCGTGCTTGCTAGCTTTGAGCTATTTCTCCCAATGTTCCATGAATTGCTCTCGTGTCTGTCATAGCTGGCTTCTCTCTCCTGTATCTCGATTTACCCAGTGGAGGTGCTATTCTGACAAAATTGTGTATCATCAAGGCTATTTGTGTCATTTGTCATCCCCGCTCTCCCCCATCCCTCAGTATACATTTTACGTCTCTGGTCACAATCCATTGTCTGTCAGTGCCCTAGACCAAACGGTGGAATCTTTTTGGAGAGCTCTGCTGGGAGCATTGCTGTGGAGAGCATCTGAAGGTAATGGACAGTGAGAGCTCTGCCACACTAGGTGTGACCAGCGTTTTGAAGGCAAGTACCACTTCAGTGCCTCCTTCTGGAAGTCTGCCCGGAGGGAAAGCCTTGATAGGGTTTTCTACTTCGCTGGCAATGCTTGTCAGCCTTCTGCAAAGATAACACGTTTCAGTGACAGCTTTCAGCTTGCTCTCACCAGTGAAAGGCTTTAGACATGTTGGAGGGCTCACTTGGTGTAAGTTGATTCATGACCTTGGCCTTCCGGAAGCTGATTATCAATCTCTGTCACTCCGCTGGCTTCCTAGAGTAATCTACAACCTGTGGCTGATCGGAGTGCAAGTTCCTGATTTTAGAGCACAGCCAGGCAGGTTCAAACACATCTGTCTCTGTTCAGAAAGCACAGTGTCTAGAAAAGCAGAAATCAATTCCCATTACCTCTCTCAACTGTACTTACCACTGAGTTATTCCTGATGTAATACTTGATGGGGCCATCTCTCGGAAGTCCCTTAAGGTTACTCTCTAGGAGGGTTTTTTTTTTTTTTATAAAAAAGTGACAGCTCATTGCATACAATTTGAAAGAAGACCATGGAATTTTGATCTCTTCAAAGATCAATATTTCACAAACTTGGGTAGAAATTCAGTTAGTAGTAATTTTCAATTAAAAAAATAGATCTAGAATCCTCTTAATTTTTTTTTTGTCTTAAAAATGCCATAATTTGCTGTGTGCCAGTGGCCCATGCCTGTAATCCTAGCTACTCAGGAGGCTGAGATCTTAGGATCATGGTTCAAAGCCAGCCTGGGCAGGAAAGCCAGACTCTTTTCTCCAGTAAACTACCAGAAAACCAGAAGTGGCGCTATGGCTGAAGTGGGAGAGTGCTAGCCTTGAGTTGAAGAAGTGAGGGACAGCGCCAGGACCAGAGTTTAAGCCCCATGATCGACAAAAAATAGACATAAAAAATATGCCATAATTTTGGAGTTGCTAACTTCCTCAGTGATTAATTTAGGTAGTCTACCTGGAGAAAGCCAGGTTTGGGTGCTTTTTTTGTTTGTTTTTTTTAAGGCATACATATCCTTCTGACATTTGTAATGGTCGAAAAGGGGTCAGAGTGTCTCTGCATTGTTTCATAAACGACACACAAATCTTTGATTATTGGCAAAATTAAGTTCATTTTAATTTATGTATTGATTGGCAGTACCGGGGTTTGAAATTAAAGCCTCATTTTTGGTGAGATGAGACTTTGAAGTCAAGGGCTCTCACACATGAGTGACATCCCCAGCTTCTCCTGTTTGTAGTTATTTTTCAGATGGAGTCTTATTTTTTTGTTTTGGTTTGGTTTGGTTTTTGGTACCAAACCAGACTATGATTCTATTATCTATACCTCGCTGGTCTCTGGATTTATAGCCATGAGCCTTCATGCATGGCTTGTTTATAGAGATGGGGGGGGAGGGGAAAGGGGGGGATGATTAGTCTTGAATTGTGATCCTACTGATCTCAACCTCCCCTTTTTCTGAGATTACAGGTTTGAGCCATTGTGCTCTGCCCAAAAGTTTATTAGGGGAAAAAAAAAATATCCAGATGACATAGAACTCATGGTTTAATTTTCCTTTCCCTCTCCTCTCTCCTTCCTTCCTTCCCTTTTTCACTCCTTTCTTCCTCCCTTCCTTTTTCCTTTTCTCCTTCTCTCCCCCATTCCCACTTCTGAGGATTAAACTCAAAACTCTGTGCTTGATAGGCTGGTGCTAGACCACTTGTCTATACTTCTACCTGCTTTTTACATTAGTTATTTCCAAAGTAGCGTCTTATTTTATATCCTGGCTGGCCTGTTGGACTGCCTATACTTTTCCTTGTCATTGGGGATGATAGGCATGAGCCTCCATGCACAGCCATTGGTTGAGATGGAGTCCTGCAAACTTTTATGCCTAGGCTGACAAACTTTTATGCCTGTGATTTTCTTCTGCTTGAATTCCTCTCAAATCCCCCAGAGCTAGATGTACTTTCACAATGGGGGTTGCTCACCTCAGTGTGATGTTCCTGCAAGAGCCTTTTAGAGACCTCATTGGAAAGAAACATCTAGTAAATGTATGTGTTTATTTTTGTGGTTTAGAAGACTTCCCTTGTGATCTTCGAACCATTTGTCCTTTTGTTTTCTCCTCTGGTTTGTCCTTGACTTTGGACCCCTGCCTTATGACAAGGCCCTGTGACTCAGCCTATGAAAAGATGTTCTTCTCCCTCCCTTGGCCCCTTTTCCTCCCCAGTATGGACTCTTCCTGACTTCATTTTAAATAGCTGAACTTCACACATCCTGAGCAGGTAGTCTACACTGAACTACATTGCCCACCCAAGGAATCAAAGTATTTGAAAATACTCTGTGTGCATGTGTGTGTGTGTGTGTGTGTGTAAATGTGCATGCATGCACACACCAGTCTTGGGACTTGAACTCTGGGCCTGGACGCTGTCCTTGAGACTTTTTTTTTTGCTTAGGATTAACACTTTACCACTTGAACTACAATTTAACTTCCAGCTTTATGATAGTTAATGCAGTTAAGAGTCCCTCTGACTTTTCTGCCCAGGCTGGCTTCAAATTAGTTTCCTCAAATCCCTGCCTCCTGAGTAGCTAGTATTATAGGCATGGTTCATGGGCACTCAGCTAGAATATGAAATCATTTTATTGGGATGGGTATGGTTGTGCATGCCTGTAATTTTGGCTACTTGAAAGGTTGTAGTAAGAGGATCTCTGTCTGAAAACAGCCTAAGAATGTTAGTACTAGAATGTGTCTGAAGAACAACCTAAAAGCATATAGACTAGGTGCCCAGAGTTTGATATTCAGTACTGTCCAGTGGAAAAATGTTATTTCTTTTATTCATGGAGGTGAGATTTTGATGTTGACAGCAGTTACCTTTGTTTGTTCTCAATTAAATAAAGTATATTTTACCTGTAATGGCTTTGGATGGGGAGGCTCCTGTAGATAAACAAAATGGATAAATGATTCCCAAATCTCCTTTGTTGTGCATTTCATCTTGCTTGATACCAAATTACTACCTTAATTTTTTATTACTGTCTTCACACCCTCAATGTTCAATGATCTTTAATAGGCATAAAGGTGGAACATGTGGACTCATAATTCCTGGCTGACATGTTTTATCTTTTGAGTTTTGTTTTGTTTTGTTGGTCCTGGGGCTTGAACTCTGGGCTTGGGTGCTGTCCCTTTGCTGTTCAGCTCAAGGTTTGCACTCTACCACTTAAGCCACAGCGCCACTTCCTGTTTTCTAGTGGATTATTGGAGATAAGAGTCTCACAGACTTTCCTGCCCAGGCTGGCTCTGAACCGTGATCCTCAGATCTTAGCCTCTGAGTAGCTAAGA